CTGTCCCCTCATGTCCCTGGGGTGTCCCTGGTGTGTCCCCATCCCATCTGACCTGTCCCCTCATGTCCCTGGGGTGTCCCTGGTGTGTCCCCATCATGTCCCCAGGGTGTCCCTGACCTGTCCCGTCCCTCCCAGGCCTTCAGCCTCGCTCCCCACCTCAGCCAAGGTGTCCCTTCATGTCCCTGGGGTGTCCCTGGTGTGTCCCCAGGGTGTCCCCAGGATGTCCCCTCAATGTCCCGTCCCTCGCAGGCCTTCAGCCGCGCCCACCGCATCGGCCAGGCCAACAAGGTGATGATCTACCGCTTCGTGACGCGGGCCTCGGTGGAGGAGCGGATCACGCAGGTGGCCAAGCGCAAGATGATGCTGACGCACCTGGTGGTGCGCCCGGGGCTGGGCTCCAAGGCCGGCTCCATGTCCAAGCAGGAGCTCGACGACATCCTCAAGTTCGGCACCGAGGAGCTCTTCAAGGACGAGAACGAGGGTGGGCCCCGCGTGGGCCGGGCCGGGCCGGGCCGGGCTGGGCTGGGTCGGGCTGGGCTGGGCTGGGCTGGGCTGGGCTGGGCCAGGCTGGGCTGGGCTGGGTCGGGCTGGGCTGGGCCATGTTGGGTTGGACTGGGCCATGTTGGGCTGGGCTGGGCTGGGCTGGGTCATGTTGGGCCATGTTGGATTGGACTGGGTCCTGCTGGGCCATGTTGGGTTGGATTGGGCTGTCTTGGGTTGGACTGGGTCCTGATGGGCTGTGTTGGGTTGGACTGGGCTGGGCCGGGCTGGGCTGGGCTGGGCCGGGCCATGTTGGGTTGGACTGGGCCATGTTGGGGTGGGCTGGGCTGGGCTGGGCCATGTTGGGCCATGTTGGGTTGGACTGGGTCATGTTGGGCCATGTTGGTTGGACTGGGCTCTCTTGGGTTGGACTGGGTCACGTTGGGCCATGTTGGGTTGGACTGGGCTGTCTTGGGTTGGACTGGGCCATGTTGGGTTGGACTGGGCCATGTTGGGCCATGTTGGTTGGACTGGGCTGTCTTGGGTTGGACTGGGCTGGGCTGGGCCATGGTGGCCAAGCCATGTCACATCGCCTTGGGGTGTGACAAATCCATGTCAGGCCATGTTGGGATGTGACAAAGCCATGTTGGGCCACGTTGGGATGTGACAAAGCCGTGTCGCATCACCTTGGGACGTGACAAAGCCGTGTTGGGATGTGACAAAGCCATGTTGGGACATGACAAGGCCGTGTCCCATCACTGTGGGGCGCGTCCAGCCGCGTCCCAGCGTGTCACACGCGTGGCCACGCAGGGGACAACAAGGAGGAGGACAGCAGCGTCATCCACTACGACAACGAGGCCATCGCGCGGCTGCTGGACCGCAACCAGGATGCCACCGACGACGCTGACGTGCAGAACATGAACGAGTACCTGAGCTCCTTCAAGGTGGCCCAGTACGTCGTCAGGGAGGAGGACAAGGTGTGCTGGGGACACCGGGGACACGGGGGGACGTGGGGGGACACGGGGACACCAGGGACACTGAGGACACCAGAGACACTGGGGACACGGGGGACAGTGGGGAACACTGGGGACACTGGGGATGTTGGGGACACTGGGGACATTGGGGACATTGGGGACACTGGGGACACTGAGGGACACAGGGGACACCAATGGGGACACCGGAGACATTGGGGACACTGGGACACTGGGGACACACTGGGGACACTGGGGACACCAGGGGCACTGAGGACAGCGGGGGACACTGGGGATGTTGGGGACACTGGGGACATGGGGGACACTGAGGACACTGGGGACACTGGGGACAGTGGGAGACACTGGGGATGTTGGGGACATTGGGGACACCAGGGACACTGGGGACATGGAAGGACACTGGGGACACTGGGGAACACTGGGGACACTGGGGGACACTGGGGACACTGGGGGACACTGGGGGACATTGGGGGACATTGGGGGCCACTGGGGACACTGGGCCACTGGGGTTACTGGGGACAATGGGGATACTGGGGACACTGGGGACACACTGCGGACATGGGGGGACACTGGGGAAATTGGGGACACTGGGGTTACTGGGGACACTGGGGGCACTGGGGACACTGGGGACATTAGGGACACAGGGGACATGAGGGACATGGGGGGACACGGGGGATGTGGGAGACAGTGGGGACACGGGGACACTGGGGAAATTGGGGACATTGGGGACACTGGGGACACTGGGGACACTAACATGGCAGAGCTGGGGGCCTGGAGGGGATGGAGAGAGGAGATGTTGGGTGGGTGGAGTATGTGGGGACGTTGGAGATGGTGGAGGTGGCAGCGATGGAGACAGTGGGGTGGGGACAGTGGGATTTGGGACAGTGGGGTGGGGACAATGGGATGATGGAGTTGGGAACCCTGGAGAAGATGGAGATGATGGAGACAGTGGAGATGGGGATGATGATGGGGATGGTGGAGGTGATGATGATGGAGATGATGATGGAGATGATTGAGATGATGATGATGATGGTGGAGATGATGGAGATGATGACGATGGGAATGGTGGAGATGATGATGAAGCTGGAGATGATGATGGTAATGATGATGATGGAGTTGATGATGATGATGGTGGAGATGCTGATGCTGGAGACACCAAGGACAGGGACACCAGTGCTGGGCACGCCGTCCCCGGCGCCGACCGACGCGGCGCTGACCCCGGGTGACCCCGGGTGACCCTGGGTGACCCCGGGTGACCCCGGGTGACCCCGAGTGTCCGGCAGATCGAGGAGATCGAGCGGGAGATCATCAAGCAGGAGGAGAACGTGGACCCCGACTACTGGGAGAAGCTGCTGCGGCACCACTACGAGCAGCAGCAGGAGGACCTGGCCCGCAACCTGGGCAAGGGCAAGCGCGTGCGCAAGCAGGTCAACTACAACGACGCTGCCCAGGAGGACCAAGGTGGGCACTGGGGGGCACTGGGGGGGACTGGGATGGACTGGGAGGGACTGGGACACACTGGGATGGGACTGGTGGGGACTGGGATGGAACCTGGGCAAGGGCAAGCGCGTGCGCAAGCAGGTCAACTACAACGACGCCGCCCAGGAGGACCAAGGTGGGCACTGAGAGGGGCTGGGAGGGACTGGGACACACTGGGATGGCACTGAGGGGCACTGGGAGGGACTGGGATGGACTGGGAGGGACTGGGATGGGACTGGGATGGCACTGAGGGGCACTGGGAGGGACTGGGATGGACTGGGAGGGACTGGGATGGCACTGGGATGGATTGGGATGGACTGGGATGGACTGGGATGGACTGGGACACACTGGGACACACTGGGTGGCACTGACACCCACCGGGGTGGCACTGGGACACAGTGGGTGGCACTGACACCCACCGGGGTGGCACTGGGACACACTGGGTGGCACTGACACCCACCGGGGTGGCACTGGGACACACTGTGACACACTGGGTGGCACTGACACCCACCGGGGTGGCACCGAGTGTCCCCAACGCTGCCGTGTCCCCAGACAACCAGTCCGAGTACTCGGTGGGCTCCGAGGAGGAGGACGAGGACTTCGACGAGCGGCCCGAGGGTGGGTGGTGGCCCCAAGGGGTCAGGGTGGGCCCAAGGGGGGTCAGGGTGGGCTCAAGGGGTCAGGGTGGGCCCAAAGGGGGGTCAGGGTGGCCCAAAGGGGGTCAGGGTGGGCCCAAAGGGGTCAGGGTGGGCCCAAAGGGGTCAGGGTGTCACCAAGGGGGGTCAGGGTGGCCCCAAGGGGGTCAGGGTGGGCCCAAAGGGGTCAGGGTGGCCCCAAGGGGTCAGGGTGTCCCCGGGGGGGTCAGGGTGCCATAGGGGGGGTCAGGGTGCCATAGGGGGGGTCAGGGTGTCCCTAAGGTGGGTCAGGGTGCCGTGGGCGGGGCTGACCCCTCCGTCCCCCCCCAGGCCGGCGTCAGTCCAAGCGGCAGCTGCGGAACGAGAAGGACAAACCCCTCCCCCCACTGCTGGCCCGGGTGGGCGGCAACATCGAGGTGAGGGGACAGGGGACACCTGGGGACACCCCGGGACACCAGGGTCACCCCTGGGGACACCCCAGCGACACCCCGGGACACCAGGGTCACCCCTGGGGACTGGGGACACCCCGGGGACACCAGGGTCACCCCCAGGGACACCCCGGGACACCAGGGTCACCCCTGGGAACACCCCAGTGACACCCCGGGACACCAGGGTCACCTCTGGGGACACCCCGGGACACCAGGGTCACCCCTGGGGACACCCCGGCGACACCCCGGGACACCAGGGTCACCTCTGGGGACACCCCAGGGACACCCCGGGACACCAGGGTCACCCCTGGGGACACCCCAGGGACACCCTGGGACACCAGAGTCATCCCTGGGGACACCCCGGCGACACCCCAGGACACCAGGGTCACCCCTGGGGACACCCCAGGGACACGCCGGGACACCAGAGTCACCCCTGGGGACACCCCAGGGACACGCCGGGACACCAGAGTCACCCCTGGGGACACCCCGGCGACACCCCGGGACACCAGGGTCACCCCTGGGGACACCCCAGGGACACCAGAGTCACCCCTGGGAACACCCCGGCGACACCCCGGGACACCAGGGTCATCCCTGGGGACACCCTGGGGACACCAGAGTCACTCCCGGGGGGTCAGGGCGTGCTCGGACACCTGAGGGACCCCCCAGCACCTGGGTCCCCAACTGAGGGACCCCACTGTCCCCTGCGTGGGACAGGGCTTGGGGGGGCTCTGGACAGCCATGTCCCCAAGGTCCCCAGTGTCCCCAGGGTCCCCAGTTTCCCCAGTGTCCCCAATCCCCCCAATGTCCCCAAGGTCCCCAAGGTCCCTGATGTCCTCGATGTCCCCGATGTCCCCTCAATGTCCCAGGAGCTGGGGTCCAACACGAGGCCTTCCTCAACACTGTCATGTGCTGGGGAATGATGGCAGGGTGTCCCCTGTCAACTGTGTCCCTCTGACCCCTGATGTCCCCAATGTCCCCGATGTCCCCTCGATGTCCCCGATGTCCCCAATGTCCCCGATGTCCCCAACGTCCCCTCGATGTCCCAGGTGCTGGGGTTCAACACGAGGCAGCGCAAGGCCTTCCTCAACGCCGTCATGCGCTGGNATGTCCCCGATGTCCCCAACGTCCCCTCGATGTCCCAGGTGCTGGGGTTCAACACGAGGCAGCGCAAGGCCTTCCTCAACGCCGTCATGCGCTGGGGGATGCCCCCCCAGGACGCCTTCACCTCCCAGTGGCTCGTGCGGGACCTGCGGGGCAAAACCGAGAAGGAGTTCAAGTAGGTGACAGCGGGGACAGCTGGGGACACCAGGGACGGGCGGTGGCACCGCGGAGGGGCGGCGGGGCCAAGGGCAGGCGGTGGCAGCAGGGATGAGTGGTGGCAGCAGGGATGAGTGGTGGCATCGAGGACAGGTGGTGGCATCGAGGACAGGTGGTGGCAGCAGGGATGAGTGGTGGCATCGAGGACAGGTGGTGGCATCGAGGACAGGTGGTGGCA